AATACAGAGCATTGAGTTTGAAAAATGGTTCCATAAGATGTGTACCCGTTTAAGTCCTACCTCATACAAAAGATACTCGAAGCCTAACTCGCATTAGCCTTGTATGTTTTACTGTACAAATAAGACGTTACTAATCCAAGGGGCCATGAGCCTATCAGTTTTGATCTGTAAGAGGAAAAATGGTGGTCGCGCCGATAACACGAGTACTGACAGTGAAGAATGTGTTAGTGTAGTAAGTGCTGTTACGAGACGCGTTAAACACTCAAGCGTGATTGACGGCAAAGTGAAGTCTCCAATAAAAATAACGATTAGTGAAACGCCCTTTGATATTGTTATTGGTAGTCATGCATCTTTAGTGAAAATTGAAGATTCGGATAAAACCGTCACCGTTCCAAATAGTTCCAATGTGACCATCCTGAGTGATGAAAAAGATATGAAAATAAAAAACCTATACATAACCAATAATATAAATATCCGCTCCTCTGTTTGCGAATCCCACGGTTGTGGAACTTGTGAATTCATTAGCTGTGAGCTCAATATCGGATGTTGTACATTGATGCTCGGTGTCATCCATCACAGCCCGATCTGTTTGGCTGATAACTTTATTTTGGAATACATCCAGCTATGGGGTGCAAGCAACAAATGGTTGGTATTAGGAGACGTTAATGTAAACGATATTAGTTAGATTGAGATGACCACGGAAGGATCTATAAACTCCTTTGATAGTAGGTTCCTGATAACAGTAACGGAACATGCGTTAGTACAGCATGCATCCAAGCCCACACGTTTTGGTTCAAACCAAGGTTCTTTGTTGGGTTCGATAATCACTCATGCGAGTGAGGATATTGCTAACCTAAATATTCTTGGGACCCATTATACGGTCATAAACTCAGTAGTTGACTTTCTCCATGATAGGAGGCAAACGGTAAATATAAATGGAGCTCTATCATCGTGGGAATCTTTAAACAGTGGAGTTCCCCAGGGCACAATCCTTGATCCTCTTCACTTTTTACTCTATGTAAATGAATTACCAACCGTAGCAAAATCATCCATTCTAATCTTCGCTGATGACATAAAGATTTGGAAACCCATACACAGGATGTCAGATAGAACAGTAGTACAGGATGATCTCAGATCATTATTGGCATGGATGGACAAGTGGTCACTAGAAGTAAATCCTAACAAGACTGTGGTAATGCAATTAAATAACTATGATGATTCGTATCACTACACAATACGCGAACTGTAAAAATTTAGGAGTCATACTAAGCAATGATCTCAAAACCACGAGCGAATGTAAGGCTGTCACTGATAAAGGCTCTAGGTTATTATGGTCTATCCGTAGCTATTTTCAGCATTAAGTTGAGGGCATGTTAAAACTACTGTGCCTGACTTTCGTGAGACCGCGTTTGGAATATGGGATTCAAGCAGCAGATCCTTGTTTTAAGTATAGGGAGGATATTCTGGAACGAGGCCAATGACGAAGAAGTAAGATAGTAAAAGGCCCATCTGGCCTATCTTATGAAAACAGACTGAGGCAGCTCAACTTATTTCCGTTGCCTTACCGTAGAATACGGGTTGATCTAATATCGGCTTATCTTATACTGAACGATGACCTTGCTAATAATATGTCTCATCTTTCCATTGCGTCAAAATTGATCATTTGAGGGGACGTTCCATGAAAGTTCTAAAACCGTGATCAAATCGTCTACGTCTGGAGTTTCGATTCTCGCACCGAGTAGTGAATTATTAAAATTCCCTACCGGAACGTGTAATATCAGCACCTTCTCTTGATTTATTCAAATCGAGATTGGACCTCCGTAGTGTTACAGACTGAAAGGCTTAATATGGGTCTATAGACCTCCTATCGTTATTACTGGACTGAAGATAAGTGAGTTTGGAAGTATTGACTTATATACGTAACGATAACCTTAGTAATTTATGAGAGGTGCGTCAGGCACAATTGATCCAAAGGGGAAATGGTAATATATGAGTGATTAACTGTTTGATAAGTCCCTCACAAAGCTATCCACCGGAGGAGGCTGTGGTAAATTCATCTGAGAGTGCGTTCCAAGTAGATGTAACTCATTATAAGGAAAAGTGAGAGCGTATCTGGTATTTTACTCTTTGATTAGCAATCTTTCGAGGGTTGCCTCGCATAACTTAATGATTTCCTGGTAATTTGTTTGTGTCGGGTTGACCTGACGTACCTATGTAATTATCAGACCATCACTTATTCGCCTGTAGTTGTTGGAATAATTCCAAGTGTAGGTATCTCCCTTTGTAGGATTTGTTCTTCAGCCCTATCACTCACTTCATTTTTTGTATGTACTTGGTCCCAGAGGTTTATACCTCTTATGAAAAGGTGGGCAACTACATATTGAATTTCATGGTGGGATCGATCGTACGTTTTAAACAGTGTTAGGAACAACTCAGGGGTGACTACATCAAGTTGTCTAAGCAGAAAGTGGGAACGTATATTTGCAACCTTTGCTAAGAGAAATACTTGAGGCACTGTGCTAAAGGCTTATGGGAAATCGAGGGCTATTTCATGAAACCATGTCTTATGGTCCCAACAGGTCGTTCAGCTTTCCAATGATACGAGGAGATTGGGTGCACATGGCCTGCTTTTTGCGAACCAATGTTGTTGTATTGTTTTTCTTCGTGTATTCCGTCATTTGTTCATTCACCAGTCCTTCCACTACCTTAAAGAATATTGTGGGTAATGGGACCAGTCTGTAACTGACTGGATTTTTCTACCTCACTTTTTGACTACTGGAAAGAGAATGACCTGCTTGTGTTCGCTTGGGAATCCGAGTGCCTGGACAGGTTGTGCACATGTGTACTGATGGTCTCTGCACACTATTTCAGGATTATAGGTCGAATTTTGTCACATCTTGGTGATCTAGGGTGCAAAATTGTATTCTCTTCCATATTAACCTAGAAGTCAGTTAGATATCTCCGGGAATCTCAACTGACACAAAGGTTGAGAGGTGTGCTGTGCTTGCAGGTTCCTGGTCTAGTTGGTCTGTCACCTTTATGTTAGTGAGATGTTCGCTATCAGCCCCCCTAATAATACAGATCCCCTGGTTTTCAGGCTTTCTACTTTTCGTCAAACCGTAGAGTTATTTGGGGTTAGATTGCACTCAGGCTGGTAGCTTGGCCTGAAAACATCGATCGCTTCGAACTTTTGTATTGTATCTTCTTTTCCAATGCCAAGTAAGAGCAACGATTAGACTCCTCCAAGGTGACTTTCCAGATATTCTGGACCAACCATTTTGCCTGTAGCAAGCATTTCTTGCCTAGCCTAACCCTACATGTTCGCTTTCTGGATGTGTGCTTACCCTAAGGTAGATTGTATTGGATAGCGATATCCCTCACTAGCCTCAGGGGTCGTGCACTGTTGGCCCTCACCATCCTCATGGCCATGGAAACTGTTGAAGATATTCCTTCATCATTGTATAGTCTTCTAATATGCAGCTAAGTTATAAGACATTTTCGTCTCGAGGAAGTATTTGTCTGTGACCATGTTAAACATAATTGAACCATTGTCACTATTCCCCCTCGGTGTGTGGAAGTGGGCATTATCAACCGGAGACTGATCAATTGTCTGTGATCCATCACGTGCTGCAAAGCATATGCTCAGGCAGCTCTGAACGTTTAGTGATCATGGCAAGTCGTCCATGGAACAACTATGTAGGGGTTTTATCCCCGTAGCTGAGCATTAAGGATGAAGTGTTGTAACCTCTAACTAGTAGTACTTGGTCAGATCAAAGGTGTGGTAACTTAATTATCTTCTATATTATCTCTTTTTTTGAGTGTTAGAACCTGCAGTCGGCCGACATATTTCTCTAATCAATTACTTCGTACCCTTCACATTGAAACAACAACAGCATGATTCCGTTACCTCATTTAATTCAGGACTCTGCCATACTAAGTCTTTTAAGTTGATGTTAATTTGTACGACCACTCTACCTCCTGTTTCTCGTACTTGCAGTGTTTGTTATTATGTTAAGCTCAAATACCTTATTCTGGCTTTCGGACAGCCCATTCTATTCATTCTACTTGAGTCACATTCTGACCTTGTTAATTATTCGCTTATCAATCTTGACTGTTTTTATATGAGCGCGTAGGCGTATGTACATTTCTTATCCCATTACTCATCACATGTCTGTAACTTACTTTTGTGTGCTTATAAGTATTGATAAGCGCTTGGTTAAAGGGGAGTTGGCTCACCCGCCAACCCCACTGCGCGGTGTTTTTATTCTCTCTATTCCACTAGCTTCACATACAAAATGTATGTATTCAAACGTCCATTCTCGTTATTTGACTTATGTAATTCCGTTATTGACTAAAGCGATTTAAGTCGATGATTATATGCGAGGATGGGCGACATATGTATTTCAAAAACAATCATCATCACGTTCTAATTGGAGTCAGATCACGGGCCACGAAAGTGGTGAGCCCGCCAAACGACGACAAAATAAAGGGCCCAACAAAATACTCTACCGTATCTGGAAAGCGTCATGTCTTCCAAGCCCACTTCTTCATCTATAATGTCGGTCGACAGCCACGTTTCACTGAGGGCTATGATCTCTGAACATAACTGGGAGAACACATTTCTGAGGACGTCACTTTTCGAACTAAATCAAACATGAAGAGCCTAAGTTGTTCTAATACAAGTGGGACTATGTGATTTGGAACTACCACGCAGCTAGCAAAAATGATGCAGTCATTCACAATAGATAGCGATTGGCGTCGCTGAAAACACTGTTTTAGTTCATTGGATGTTGCACGTGGGAGCCAACCCTGTGGGATAAATATGACTTGTTGTTTTAAGACATGACCGTAACGAGTGTGATTAGCAACTCTAGTAGTTGTCACTGGAAGAGCTTGTCTTATATTTACTAGCGTGATACTTACATCTTCCTCAAGTGATATGGATGCAATAACAATATCTTTGCTTTCAAGTTTGTGGTTGCTTATTAAGCGCGAAAAATAAATCTAATAAATCTACAAATGACTACAACATTGATTAGAATCAATGCATTCGATTGGATTACCACCCAATAAACATTAACAAATATTTGGAACCGCATGGAGGCAACGAGAAGGGAGTGGGAGGAAACCGATCGGTTTGTACAAGTTCATGACAAAGATAATGATTATTGAATTGACCTTAAGGATTTAACACAATTTCAATTTTTGCCCTTGAGGATGACGTTATACTCAATCATTCTGCCCACCTACAATGAAAAGGAAAATCTCCCCATTATTACATGGATCATTGATGAGGTTATGAATAAAAGGTGAGTAGTTCATTACTGAAACCTGATTTATCAGACTTACAAGTCACTATGTCGTGTGATAAGTTGTGGAGGTAATCTTCGTAACTGATAACATAAAGGTTCACATCAGTGGAGTTTTAATTCACTCATTTCGCACGGTTCATGTTCCTTGGTATTTATTCTCTTTCAAAGATCTTCGGATATGTGCTGTAAGAAAAACGCTCTTGGCCTCATATTCTTTATTTTTCGATGCATACTACATCAGTGTTACGTTTAGTCCTAGCTCCACTTCAATAATAATAAGTATGGTTTGATTAATACCTTGATTTTACTGGTGTAAGTATAATTTTGCAACGGTATTCTTATCCACAGCCATAAAATGTAACGCTGTTGACACGCCTTGGATTTAGAACTCCCGGCTCACACCTACTAAATAGTATTTAGTGTCTGTGAAGTGTATGTATTACTCTGCAGGTTTTAAAATGGCTGGTTAAAGTTATTCGAACAAAAATGTTGACGAAATTGAATATTAAGTTTAGCTACGTTGAGTATTTTACTAACCCTTCTGAATGTTATATCCGGAATAGAATAATGGTCGGTAACTTGTGGAATCCATTTATGGACCAATACTATTCGTACATTTTATCGTACAATTGTTAAGTGACCAAACTATCCATATTCATGTACCTCTTATTATGAGCTTTGTTTTGACCTCTGAAATATTGCTGTACGATTTACCACTCTTGCGTTACGCCCTGTCTACCAATTTCTATCTCCCTTATTCACAGCCACATTTAGCTGATCCTGTACAAATGTTGTTTCCTGTCTTATGTTAAGACGTGGTCTGTTTGGTTGGTACAAAAACCCAGTATGTTTGAAATACATGAAATATATTGATAGCATTTTGTCATTGCAATCCTTAATATTCACTTATGTCAATTGTTCCATACTATTTCTTGTCCCAATGTAAAATTCTAATACGTATTTGGTTGTAAGCAGCTGACGGGGAACCACGAAATATAATGAATTCATATTATTCCGCATCAATATTTGCCATGGCTTTATTTAAATTGAAATACGTGATTCATATCGCAGAGCCTGAGATTGGTGTTCTGGGCTTAACTGGTTGGGCTAGGCAAGAAGCGCGACCGACAAGTACTCTAGACTGCTCGCACGGGTTTTATGCGTCATTGGTCTGATTGATAATTTGCTGTTCTCTAATTGATGGTATCATTATGTTATACATTAACAGGGCACACAGGCCACAAGTTATAACACTGGATTAGTGTTTGCCTTCACTTTTTCAGATTTTGCTGGACGATCATCTTTTCTTTAAACAATGGTTGAGTGTCTACTAAAAATCCGACAGTTTTCGGTAGCCTAGTGGTGTCCCTTCCCCTATTGCATAATGTGATCATTCAGATAATTAAACTTAAAAAGCCAGTTCATTCTAAGGTACTTTACATTTTCGCATAGGAACAAAATTTTTGATATATGCTAAAACCGACCAATTTGGATCCGTATCATCTCAATCACCCTGAAATAAGTTCAATATTAAAAAATAAAGCTTAAGAAGTTTTTGTACATGCCGAGGCTGTTAAATTGTAGTATTTATTATGCAGAATTATTCTGTTGATGTTAGATTACAAATGAGTGTAAATCAGTTACAAAGCATTATTTTCCATCCAACAGCTGAAAACAGTCATATCCGGCAGTTTCTTGACATTTAAAATTAGCAAGATTTTATTCCCATAATTTGTGGTGATTCAGAAACACCGAACAGGCAGTGTTTAGATCAGGACTGAATTCACATCTGTCTTGTAAACGTAAATATAACCAAAGAATATGGTCATTGCGGGGAAACATCTCTAGTGATAGTCATATTGAATAAATTACAAGCTTTTATTTGGCTGCATGAGTCTACTCAGAGAGCATTAAGTAATTTCTTATAACTTGACTACGATGCCCCTTATATCGTTCTTGATCACTGTACTGATCCACGTGGATCCATGTAGTTTGAGTACCAACTCCATGGTATGGTATAAAGTCAATTACTTCATCTGATCTTAAACATCGTGTTGTTTTGTATACGTTTGTCTCATACTCGTCTTTGCTTATGGTCCAGTGTGTTGCTTTTCTATTTCGTTTTTCTGGCGTCGATGCTCGTGGCAAATTAGTTTTAAAGAACACTTTAATGTTATATTTTATTTTATCCGTATATGTTGAAACCCAGGTCAACTTTTTCGGGATGCGTCGCGGTCGACTGTTTATTGCCAGTGGATAATAATGTCCAGAACTATATGATATTTGTATTTATTAACGTAAATATACTGATACTTTGTATTTAAATGTGTATCTACAGCGGCTTTCCCTACGAACTAATAATCGTTGACGACAACAGTCCAGATGGGACAGGTGAAGTTGCTAAAAAGTTACAATCTATCTTCGGAGGAAATAAAATAGTGAGTAGAACTTAATTGCTGTAACGTTGTTCAGATTCTTAAACCAAGAAGTGGAAAATTAGGACTTGGTAGGTTGATTCACTTTAACTCGTATTCAGCAAACTTTTAATATAGGCTCAGCTTACTTGCATGGTTTGAAGTTTGCAAAAGGTGATTTCGTTATCATTATGGACGCGGATTTATCACATCACGTAGGTTTAAACTAAACTTATATCTTACTAATTTATTATACCTATCCGTCGGTTGTAATGTAGTCACGAGATTTATGTGTTTCTGTTATTGAACCGAATCGTAAAAATATCTTCCTATGCATCCACTCCGTTATTTGAATCTACGCGGTTAGTAGTGATCTTGTTGAGCTATACATTTACACTTCTTATAGCTTTATTGAAAATTCCTAAACTCCGTCGACTTCCTTGGTTATAACAATACATTTTGTCTATTAATTCCACCATAAAATCCTTGTTTGTAAATAAATGGCTGAATTGACTTATCTTTTTGCATTTATGTTAGATAGTCAGGGTTTTAGTTCCCTACCGATGTAATCTTTCGAGTTAGAATTTTGCGTTTTTGAGAATACTACTACAGAAGATGCGTGCCATCTATATCTGAAACATCTAAGAAAAGAAACTAATGGTTTCACTCCAGAAAGAGCAGTGTGGTTGTTTGAATTGCAATGTCACAATGGTATCCATATATAGCCTTATCATTTTCAACTTTCCATTAAGTGTATTTCCTATTAATTTTTGTCTTTTTGTCCTTTTCTATGATTTCAGCCAAAATTTATTCCTGAGTTCATTAAGTATGTATCTTGCAAGTTAACTAAATTTAATAAAATAAAGATTACAAAAGCAACATGATTACGATATTGTTACTGGGACACGATATGCATCTAACGGAGGTGTAAGTGGCTGGGATTTGAAGCGTAAACTTATCAGGTTAGTTCTTATGTACTGATTAAAAGTGGATCTAGTAACACCAAGTAATTCCTCCTATTGATTGTTTTACAATTTTCCATCATTTATGAACTTCATTGATCACCTAATGTTGTTTCAAAGATCATTTGCTCATATGATATAACCAGAATGCTCCAAATTATCCGATTAGTTAATTTCATTTAAGTAGAAATAAATAAACTGATGTGCATCACACTTTTTATTCATCATTTTTGTTAATAAGTGAGTAGCATTTTACAAATTTTGTCGTTCTTGCGTGATAATATCTTGAAGACTGCAAATATTTGATAAAGTTTAAAAATGATTATACAACTGAATGCCAACTCACATGCATCAAATGAAATTGAAGTTGGTATAAGTTATACTTAAACTGATGAGCCAGCTTTTTCATGCTCCCCTTGTGATGTCTCTTTATAGCCTTTACGATTATGAGTTCTGCGTATAGGTATTGTGATGTTTTATACTCAAGTAACCGTAATGAAGTATACTACTTATACTGACAGATATAAGTAGTATGTAGCATCAATCAGAAGTAGAAAGCCTGCCAGCAGATGATTGAATTGAAGAGATCAGAAAGGGAAGTAAAGACGAATTGTAATAACAACAGAATTGGAAGAATCACGAAGCATGTACTAGACAACTGAAGAAAGATGTCCAAATGATGTATTTAATGTATGGCTTTCATGTTTTACAATGGCACTCTGTAATTTTGCATTGGTTTTCCCCACCTGAGTTTTCGTTCACTACAATATAAGCAATTGTATCCTTTGACTGTTAAATTAGCCTGCACTCATACTGATTAGTAGTCTTATGTGATACTTAGGAGAATAATCTGTTAAGGCTAGAACAGATAATAAAACTGCTTGTTCCAATAAACTGTCAACTTTCTTTAATGTGAACAGAAATGAGTTCAAATTTTTCACAAGAGATAAAATTATCAAGCTATCACGTTTTAGGTTTGTGCAAAGTATGTTAACATTTTTTTACTGTATTCAGAGTTATACAAATTCATTAGTCGAGAAATACTAAGTACGGTTGATAAGTATGTTTGGATGTAATTGGATCAATACTTTCGGTAATGGGTTGTTCATAGAACTGGAACGTTGTTCCAAGTAGCGTTTGTAGCACATCGAGTAAGCTTTTCAATTCTATGGGTTTTTTGTTCACTATATGTTCCACATTTATTGGTAAATCAAGTTTCATTCATAAATACTAATTCACATTTCAAAAGTTAGTCGAAATTTCAAGTACTTCCCAAACATTTAACCACAGTATAATTGTTTTTTTGTATGAAAGCATATTTTAACCATTGACTGAATAACTGATTACAAATGAGTATGTCATCAGCGCAAACTTCAGGTCTTATATTTTTTTTTTTCAAACAAAACAGTAATTTTTTATACAAGTTATGATCAATTTATTTGTTCACCTATTTGTTTGTTTTTCCAGCCGTACTGCAAATTACATAGCTCAAGTATTACTACGACCGAAAGCATCCGATTTAACTGGAAGTTTTAGGTAAATTAGTGTACAGATATACATATAAAGATTCTTACACACTGCTATTCGCAGCATAAATAAAATTTGTTACTTGCTGTTCTTTTCCTATAAATAATATTCATTTAATTCCAATCATACTACTCTGGATAAATGTTAGACCTTTTCCACAGCTTGTTCGACGTTATGTATACACAGTTGAAAAAGTAGATGCCTTTATTACTGATTTTGACAACTGATTATTTGTTGCAATGAAAGGTAAGCCTCACAATTGATTAATCACTTAATAGTAACCAATATCGTATTTGTCTAATTCATTTTGTCGATCGCATGATGTTGACCAAATCACAATGTGACCACTAGTGTCTATGTGACTCAGTAATAAACCCTGGACTTAGGTATCGTGTTATTCGGTACTTTTCAGTAAGGTCGAGAGAACTAGTACTCTCTAGTTGTTTCGAAACCATCTCATAAATATTGACAAATGTAGTAGGTTTAGTGCTTTTTATGTAAATATGATCTCGAATGATTCTTTAGAAGATCTAACCAAACGTATTGAATACGTATGTATTCATTTATTTCACTGTTTGCTTTTTAGACTATACAAAAAAGCAGTTTTACAAGATTTAGTTTCACGTTGTACTTCACGTGGTTATGTTTTTCAAATGGAAATTATAGTATTAGCCTCTTCACTTGGTTACAAAATTGGTGAGGTTAGTTTACTTGTACACATTAGTTTGAATTTAATTTTACAAATAATATTCAATTCTAGGCTGGAATTACATTTGTAGATCGATTTTATGGAGAGTCAAAACTTGGTGGAACAGAAATTATTCAATATATAATGGGACTATTACATCTTTTCTGTACTTGCTAATTTTCTTTTATTTTTTGGAAAAAATATACAGTTAATTACAATTCTACTGTTTGTACTCGGTTTAGAAAATAAAAATTTTTCCGATGCCTCATTGCAAATCTATGCTCAATACTTTACTGAAAATTCATATTCATTCACAATGAACATTACAAAATAATGGCGTAGTTATCTTAAGATGTAGGAGATGTAATTTTCAAGTTACGTCAATATAATATTTTCTCCTGAAGTTAGTTTCCATTATGAACTTAACTGAAAAATCATCAGAGATCAAGGAGCACTAGACAATTGTTTTAGTAGTTGTGATTAGTAGTTTTTAATAATTCCTTCACTGTATTCAGTTTAAGATGGACTTTTCACAAACCCTGTATGTCAATAATAATTGTGATTAGTTCCGAAATAGATTCCTAGTGATCTATGTAGTTTAACTTTGTTAGGAGTGAAACAGGTATCACCAATGATGTTGGACAGTCATCCTGCAATACTATAAACTGACTTAGGTTGTAAATATGGACTATGGAGCCGTGTAGTAGTGAAACAAAAGTATGGTGCTCGCTGTGAGATCGAAAGGACTTGGATCCTCTTGACTGTTTGCATTGCTGAGAAGTCACTAAATGCAATAAACGGGCTTTCCAATGGTTACTGATTTACAATGGCCCTCCAACTGTCGTAGTTTTGTAACAGAAGGTAACTTCGGATTTGACAACAGTATAATAACTAGATTTGGGATGACATTTAAGTATCTCAATTAGTATATTAAGTCCTTGTGTCAAAAGTTTTCTACTAACATTCATACAAAACTAAGCTCGACTCGTAGGATGAGACATCGCGTACACTACTTGTGTATAAACTACTTTAGTCATTTTTGAGAATGAAGCTCTTGGAAACATATCAGAGTCCACTAATCCGGAATATTACAAAATATTTCTAGATTTGTATAAGTTTTAAGGCCGGACTTTGATATTAATGAGAATAAATGTTGTTCTTTTTTTATTTATTCAACTTGAGGAGATCACCTGGAAGCAGTATATTTCAAACTAAAATCTTATCTAAACAAGTTTATAAAAGCTCCGGTAATTCTGATATTTCATCTGTGATATGATACGTTCGTAATGATAAAGTACTTTATGCTGCTATAAACATTCTTACGTGTGTTTCAGGAAATAATTTCTTGAAGTGTTTTGAAAATAAGTCAGAAATCAGTTTTTAAAAATCTTCAAGTCAGTACATGATGTTACTTTATTAACTCATTAAATGCTTATATGAGTCGTTTATGGAGCTTCAGATTACCTGTTTGAAGCCCCTAAGATATCCTTACTCACTATTTGAAGACTACATGACTGGGTTTAAGAAAAGTTGGTGCATGTGCATTCGTTTTTCGCTAAGTCTTAAATCTGTGTTTGATTCACTAAACTGTTTAATTTGCTTTTTTGAACATTATGTCTTATCCTCAGCTTCTAACTGTCATAAGCATTATTATCTTTACGGCTTTAGTTTTCATCTTTCTGATTCCCCGACGTATAAATGTTAAAAAAATGCAAATTCAGTCAAAATACTGTCCTGTTTCGAAGTATATTTACCTACCTTTTTTATCAATACGTATGGCAGTATTAATTAAATTACGATTTTAAGTGTTCATAAAACTGTTGAAACAATATCTTTCAAGATTAGTCGAAGTATCTAACAAATTTTTAAATTCAACCAAAATATAATCATATATGCATGTTCATGTTTAACTACATTAAATAAACAGACATTGTATATTTATATAAAGATTAATTATTTTAGGACCTTTTTCATTTAACACAAAATAGTGACTACTTATCAGTGATATTTTTGTTCTACATGAACTGTTTAGGATTTTCTGAACCAATGTGTTAATATGTAAAAATATTGAAATAATGTGATTTTATATTGGCATCATTTGTTTTGATTAATTGATTTCAGTATACTTTATTATATTCTCGATGGTGAATTTAGGTTGTAATTGCCTTATTTTTAGTAGAAATTTCTACCTTTGGTGATTTACATGGGGATTCATAAGACTGAACTGAATGTGTTTGTGCTTGAGTTCGTAAATATGGTAAATTCTGGCATTTTTCCGATGTGTTTTCTCGATTCTCTTTTCGTTCATTATTTACCAATAGTTCTTTAGTCATTCTAAGACCGTTTTTATATAATTTTATAAACTCGTTTTTACCCAATATGAGTCGTTGGTTCACCAAATTAATCAAAGGATCTGCATAAGTTTCTTCTACCTTAAGTTTACTTAAATTCTCATGAATTTCGGCTTCTTCTCTGGTAACAACTATAGTATTCCATGGTGACCATGGTTCATTAATATCCCATCGAGCCAGTGTCAAATCAAATAGATTTGTCCAACCTGATAAAACCGAGCGACTTTCCCAAATTCGGTCGATTAAAAATCGTATGTCTTCTTTATCGATTAAGAAAGGCAGTGGGTTTACACATACAATCTCTTCTTGTGTCCCGTCAATAATGGCATCTGTTTCCGGTCTTGGAGACTCACCTCGTTCTAATCTCTGCAATTCTTCCTCTCGTGCGTTTTCTATTGCCACTCTTTTCATCTTTTCCACAAGTCTAGTCTCGTTTTGTCTTAGTTCTGTCAGAATATATTGATATGGTTCAAGATCTAATCTCTCACGTCCCCGATTATCACTTCTTCTACATGATTTACATTGGGATAGTTTGTTCGCTCGTGAGCTGAGTGGGAATAAGTTCTTCTTTAAGTATCTTTGACAAGAGATACAGTATTGGATGTCATCTACTAACAAGGGTACAGTTGTTTCTTTCACGTTTGTTGGCACTGTAAGGTACTTACCTACTTCCGGATTAACTTGTGGTGATTTTGCAAACTGCACGAATCTGTTGCGAATCCTTTGTCTTAGTCCGGATAAAATTTTACCTGGAGTACCACGCATAATTAGTTCTGCTTCCCTGTCAACCAATCCTATTATCTCCTTAGAAATCTTTGTATTGTATGAGCTCACTGTTTGTTTCAGTGTCAGAAGTATATCTAGCCTTTCATTATGTGTTAGATTTTCCAAACGTAAACTTTCATGAATATCCAGCAATTCCTTTGCACGAATCGTTTCAGCTGTGGCTACTTCAGTTATTCTTCCATCGATTGAGGATATCCAACGATGAGGAGCTGAAGCCTTTTTTAGACAAAGAGATTGATTGTTTTCAGCAACTTCCTTGCCTCTATTTATCTGATGTTTAGTTATAACTGATATTAATTCTGCCTCTTCATCCAAAAGTAACGCTAGAGCTGCTTTCTTTTCTGCTTCCGTTAAGTTTTTTTCTTCTATTTTACCTACTTTTTCTTTACGCCACAATTCTAAAGCGTTATATAATCGATCGAAATCAGTCACAGTTTTAGGATGAAGCCTTCGCTCAAAGTCATGTGCGATTCTTCTAGCAATTTCATTTTTGTATTTTTCAGATTGTGATTTTTCCCAAGCAATGTAATCATCCCTTATTTTCTTAAGACGCTCTACTTTTCTTTTCGCAAGCCATCGGCGTAAATACTTTTGAATGATTATAATCTACAAAAGGAAATTAAAAAAGATGTCTTATTCTTTTAAGGTAAATTCTTATATTTCGAAAATGTCTATGAATAAACAGAACACTTTATAGCCGTATTTGTATGGCAAAATAAGTTTTAAATTGTTTCTCATTATTATGCCTGGAATCAAAATCCATTACACTTGAATAAACTTCCGAATTATTTAGAATACGACTAGTAAAAGTTTGACTTTGCTATGTACATAGTTACTCCAAATTTTATTGGTTATTCGTTTGCTAGTGGAGTATTTTGATTGCATACGGTAATTTCATATCCTTAATCGTATTTTCTAGTTAGATGAATATCGTTTTTTATTCTGATATCTGTTTGTTCAGGTTATATAAGTGCACTTAGTGAGCAGCTGTTCCGTTTGTTAGTCGTGTATATTGATAGGTTAACAATCGTCTCATTGTTTCACCAGTAAAAAGTTGTGAATATTTCTAAAAATGTAATGAACCAAGAATAAGGTTGGGGCATGTAATTTAAAAGTAGGTTTTCTATTGTTAAGTATGTTAATAATTTCTAACATTTATACTAACCGAACAACCATAAATAAGATGCTTAAAGTTTTATTTTATATCTCAATGTCGATTTCCATCCAACAGCTCTATTTTGTACTAGAAAGTCTGTCATTAATGACAGTGTTTAGCAATTAGTCGACACTGAGTATCAGCGACTTCATCTCCATGTAATCCAGTGCCGACCGAAATCTAGTGATTTGGAGACCACTCATTTCTGGCATAAGACCAGGCTCTGCAGAATGTCATTTAAGACCCAACCATAATAAAAGTGCCATTTCTGATTTCTATACTAAAAAATTTTGGCCTAGATTAGGTTCCAACCCCTGTAATAATACGAATATGCTTTCACAACAAAATTCAACATCCACTCCGATAATCTGTGTTGGTTCCTTTAGCAATATTTCATAACATTTACTTATGTAAGTCCAGGTTTTAAATTATGTGTTATGAAAGCATAATTACGTGCACATAGCTGACAGCAAACATACAGCCTCGTTATCGTCATTGGCTATAATTTTATGTTCTACCTTTACACAAAATCTTAATTCCGTGGACTCAAGTACGCTAATTCCTCTAAATCTGGATTATTGTCATTAATAAGTCTTGATTATAAGATAGTCATAACTGCCTACTGTGACAGATAATTTAATACTTTTGACTAGCTGATTGTCATTACTTATATCCGTCAGAAAGCTTTAGTTGTACGTATACACACACCACGCTAGTTTTGTCTGTATATGATTACTCCCTCAAGAAAACCTAGTTATTTCTGGTTATTCTACTTATTACATATATCGCAGTAAAACAGTTCTATCCTTCGGTTGAATACACAAGCGAAACTTTGCTCTAACAGTAACTACGTCCAAATGGAGTTATTTATTTGTTAAGGAAGTATCGGTTGAGTAACGGTAAAACTAGAGTCTATCACCAAGTTCTGATGAAAAGATACAAATGCAGAAAATCAAATATGCGGCCTGTAAATTG